AAAGTATTGTTGAAACAGCCATGGTTTAGGGGTTTTGGATTTAGGGTTTCAGAGTTTAAGGTTTAGGGGGTTTAGGCTTTCGGCTTTAGGGGGCGGATGTGTCCTAGGAGCTTGCCCAGCTTCGCACGGCTTCATTGGAGGGAGCTGCTGCAGAGTTGGAGACGCTCCTGCAACGGCCGCGTGGCTGAAGCTGTTGGGGCTTAGACCCTAAACCCTAAACCCTAAACCCTTAGGGCTGATGATCATGATGATTAGTGTTGTTATTACTGTTATTGTACATCAGCATACTTGCCATATCAGTTACTGTAGAGATTACTAGAATACGGGCTTAATAGAGGTCTACAATAGAGCTATTGTGCAGATCCCAACTATGCAGCTTAGAATCACGTGCTGAGGGGTGAAAGTTTTAGCATACATGGCAGGTTTGATCTTGCCAGAGGTCGTGTTCGATTGAAGCAGTCATGCAGGCAAAAACCCTAAACCCTAAACCCTAAACCCCTAACCCCTAAACCCCAAACCCTAAACCCTAAACAGGCAACCAAGGTTCAACTGCTGGCTCTTCTGCCCCCAACGACGGCATCGTCGGGCCAGCCCAAACAGTTCCTGAACTGGCACTGGCCTTGTAGCTAAACCCCGAGTGTATGCCAGGTTTTGGAGATCCTGAACCTACTTTATGGTTAGGATCCCGTACTCAGAAACTATATCAGGCATCAAAACGGATTGCCGTAGAAGCCGAGAAGTTGAAAACCCAATAGCCTCAATCCTTAAGAGTAATGTATAGGGAAACCTAGCACTATTTGACCTTAATCCGGTTTCTAGCTTTCTGGGGTTTACTATACAATAAGGACTAAAGAGTGCGGGTATCTTGCGGAAAACTTACAGCAGATTAATCAGCATCCTATGCGCGACTAAGAGGCCGATGAACCCGGATGTCGTGGTGGATCGAATGGAAAGGCCTGGCGCGGGGGACGAATGTATGGGCCTAAATAATTACCTATACTATTTTGGGGGGTCCCTTATTGTAAATATAGTAGAATGTATCCCCGAACCCTATTCTAATTATTAAGGCCTCTATATTAGGAAGGTGTGCGGTTAGAGCTTATCTGAACTTTCCGTAGCCTGCATGATTGCGAGGCAGTCGGAACTTTATGCAAGGGCCTTCACTCGGACCCTGTCGGGTTAAGGTCCTACATAAAATCTTAGATGTCGGAATATTTTGCGGTCTTATCCCCTTATATCCTTTTCTCCTCGTACCGCAAAAGACCCCCCCCCAACAAAAACACTCGTCTAACTGTTATTCTAACTATTAAGGTGCCCTTTCCACGATTTGGGATGTCAGGAGGTTTGGGCGACGATTGGAATGAGCCCTGGGGGCTGGGAGAGTTGTAACTTGTATCCTCATGGTTTAGGGTTTAGGGTTTATAGCTTATAGG